GATGTAGGCGAGCGGAAACCGGATTCCCCTAAGCTAACACCGGACTGCGTTTCGGAAGCTGGAGCTGGAGGTGGTGGTGGCGAAGGAGAGGCTGTGGGAGTGACATCCTCACTAGTTTCGTCGGCTGTGTACTCTGCAATGGCCTCCAGTAAGACTTCAACTACTTCGCTTTTACCATTAAGGCAAGCAATGTGTAGTGGAGAGTTGCCCTGAGAAGCCACACGGCATTCAATTGCAAGTCGCAAAGGAAGGATCAGCGAAAGGTTCCGAAAGGTATTAATGTATGAAGATTCATTTTTTGTGGTTAGTATAATTTAAACCTTAAACAGTGCTCGTCAAAGTTCACGAAACGCGAACCCTTACAGCAATTGGTGAGGTAGATCTTGAAATTTTAAACATAATTTCGAAAGGTACTTTCGTTTACAATGGGGTGGGATGTTAACGGTAATTGCCATGCAGCCTTATTAAAAGATAGTTCAGTCAGACAAAGATGCTAACTTTTAAATGCGCTTCTTTCCGGTCACCTCGATACATCTCGCTCAGTAGACAAAATGACTGCTTAATAAGTATAAATTTTTCGTTCCTATTTCCAGTGCGCTTATAAATTGAAATATATTCTACAGAAAACATATATAATATTCCTTCCTTCACTCACTTGGTAGCAAACTATGTCTTTTTCACATTTATACTAAAAGAAATTGTAAATTTAATCACACTTGGATCGGTTTTACCCACTCAACTTTGTGCTTGTAGGGAATCCATCATTACGGAACAGCAAGCTGACTGTCCAGGCAGGATTCCCTAAGCAATTATCTAGAATCCACCAGAATGACTACTAGGTTCACCTAATTGTTAGGGGGGTTGGCAGATTTGCTTAATTCGATTGACCCAACGGTGAGCCTCGTAACTCAATGGTAGAGCGTTGGCTGCGCAAAAGCCTTCTCTGTTGTGTGGGTTTGACTCCCACCGAGGCTGCAAATTTTTCACAATTGGGTCAACTTAACTAAGCAAACCTGTTAAGCCCCGCCCCCTCCCCCTAACAATCCCATAATTGTAACTGTGGTAGAGGACACCTACTGGCCCGTTAGTGCTCAGGGATTCCGTAGGCACTCACACAATGACTACTAATATATGCAAAGAACGATTAGAGACCAAAACCAGGGAGATTAGGATAGCCGCCCCTGGCTTATTTGCCGTTATCGGCAAGCCCCAAACTTTTCAACTCCCGAGGTTCGAACCCACGTTCTGACGGTTATAATTTCAACGCTCGCATCATCGAGCAACGGACTCCTTGTCCTGCAGGTTGCGGTTGAGAAACATCAACTCACGAGTAATATTACGGGGCCTACTGATGCGGTAGCACTTAGGGGTTCAATCTAGGGCGCAAAAGGCAGACTCAAAGCGACTACTAATATATGTAGACAACCTTTTCCCAATATAAAATTTGAAGAAGACGTAATCTGCTAACAAAGGAGTGCAATAAAGGATATTTCTTGTGCATAAATACATTTGACTTTATAAGGCGATCAAAAACAAGAATACTGTTTACGCTGTCATTTTTATCGAGTGTATCAATATCAGTTTATTTGAAGATGTAGGTCGGTTACCTTTGAGTTACCTACTTGTACGCGCGTGTTGTGGTAATAGAAAAAAATTATATCTCAATTTTTTGGTGAGCCCAATGAGTTGGAACATAGTTTTAAAAAATAGCAGACAGTGAAAGAAAAATGCCTTGGGATTTTTTAGGAGGAAAAACTGTCGCTCTTTGAGGGGGGATCGAACGGGGGAGACATTTTTAAGGAGAAAAAAGCCAGTATTTCGCCGTGACTGAAGTATCGTATGGGTACGCTGCATGGTAATCAATACCACAACGTCACTTAAGGAATCATTTCTAGTCGAAAGCGCATTTCCGAATCTCGGCTAATATTTCATAAGGACCACCAACTGGATCCAGACTTAGATCCTAGGCCTGCGAGTCTGCGGTTGTTTCTGATGATGAGTGCAACTGAGATTAAGAAAAATAAGAAATTTCTTGTTCCAGTGATTGCACTTTCGCCTTATGAACTGCTTCCTGAAACTAACCTGTTCGCTTCGATCAGCATATATGCGACTGTTCTAGAGAAACGAAGCTGTCCATCTAAGAAAGGCAGTTGGAAGCTAAATACAGTTCTTCTTAACAAAACATTTGCCCGATAACAAAAAATATTGATTTTGGTGAATTCGAACAAATCTCTGAAGTTCCTCCGAGACAGC